CACGGAATAGATGTAATAATGCAGCTATAGGAGCCACCTCATACCACTGAATTTATCGTCCGCCTATTTAAATACATAGTAGGGCTCGCTTGAAATATGTACATGAAGATGTATGGAGGTGCGCACACTACACCAACTTAATCGCTCCGACCAATTAGTTGTGGTGCAATGGAAAGACTAGCAAGCCCAACTAAATCGGCGGCCGATAAAGGCCGTGGTGAGCGATGGATCTAAAACATTTTAAACAAGAAATATTGCAGTCACATATTCGTTTTTAAGATTTTGATTCATGTGATTAGTAGTGGCAAGAATGTATGTATGTATTAAATACGTATATCTATATATATAAAAATGGTGTGAAAAATATATAGTAATTCATCAATTGAGAACGGTTGGGCCGATTTGGCAAAATTTTTCTTTTAGTTGTTCGCAATTTCCAGGGGAAGGTTTTTACGATAGAAAAGTTTGGGAAAACTTTCCGGGAAAGTCGGGAAATTGGAAAAATCGAAAATTTATTTTTTTGTATGTAATTTTTTGAGCAATTACTTCGGGATGGCTTTCGAATGGTAAAATAGAAAATTCTGGAAAAGTCGGAAAAATCCAGAAGAACGCTTTAATATTATTTTAATTTTTTTCGACGAAATTTTTGTATTTTATCGCATGATTTGATGATTTTGGACAATGTTAAGGTGGAAAATTCGTTGTTAAGCTCGGAAAATTTCGGGTAATTGTGATATTCATTGCGAACGTGAATCAATTGGGAACAATTTTCTCCTAAATATGTTTCATAACCGATTCGAATGGTTGCTACTTTTTTGGAAAGGTGTTTAGAAGGAGTGCACGAAGTTTTAATTTTTCCGATACTTGGGGCAGGGGTCGAGCTACGCTAAAAAATGCTTTTGGTACGTAGGTAGCCTTTTGCCTAAATTAGCATATAGGATCCATTTTTCCCGTTAAGTGGGCCAGGGACCGATCTATTCGAAAAAGTCTTATTTATGGTCCGCTTTGCTTGAAATTTGGCACGTAGGTAGCGTATTGTCTGGGTTAAAATATAGGACACTTTTTCTGATAGGTGGAAAAAATCTTATTTATGCTGCGATATGCTTGAAAGTTGGCACGTAGGTAGCTTATTGTCAGGGTTAAAATATTAGATACTCTTTTTCTGATAGTTGCACCAGGGACCGATCTATTCCAAAAATTCTTATTTATGGTATGATTTGCTTGAAATTCGATACCCGTATTATAGATATGCGTAAAATAGAATTGAGTCATTGTTTTACAGTTCGAAAGGTGTTTGAAGACGCCCCAAACATGCGGGTATTGGCTATTTAACAATAGTTATTACACACGCCAACAAAAATAGAAACAAATTTGATGCAGTTAATGTTAACGCTATTTTTGACGTAAGCATAAAGTTTCGGACAGCAACAGATTTTAAGACAAACAAGGTCAGTGTCAAAGAATCGCGATTTTGCAATATTTGAGAAGCTCTAGCAAAGAAACAAAGGGTGGTAGAACCTCCCACTTAGGCTTAGATTAAAGAAAGAAAATCTCGGCTACTATCCCTGCAAATTCCTGCACCTTTGCTTGATGGTCACTTATAGTTATTTGTTGAACAGGAAATACTGATTTTGCGAAGTTTGAGTACCTACCGCAACTAGGAAAAATTCCACTTAGGCTTAAATTAAGGCTTGGACTTCTGACTTCAATCCCTGAAAATACCATTGCTTTACGTTGACTTGCCTTACGTTGACTAAACAGAATGTGGATCAATGATACTCACCAGTATGGAAATTGCCACCAACTAGACTATAAAGATTCAATAACGATTCACTATCGAGCCGCAAGAACTTCTTCCCGGTATAACGCTTTCATCATGTTATTTAAGACGGTAATGGACGATATGCCTTCTGTCGACCACAGAACCAAACGTGAACGTGAATTTCTGGCGAAAACGTTGGACCAAATATTTCAATAAAAAAATTAATTTTGGGCGGGACGAAGTTCGCCGGATAAGCTAGTTTACAATAATTTTTAGACGAAAAATATGAATATTATACATTTTTGGAAAATGGGCGTAGCCACGCCCACTTATGGTTACATGTGTATATCTTGGTAACCGCTGCACCAATTTCTTCCAAATTTGGCACAGTTGTTAACCTTGGTATAACATACGAAATGGCCGAAAATTTTTAAAATCGGACAATAGCCACGCCCACATCCCATATAACGGTAATTTAGAGAAATACGAAATCTTGGATAAATCAGTAAATATTAAAGCTAATTTATTCAAAATTGATGCTTGCAACAATTCTTTACCAAGAAATACGCTTAAGACAAAATTTTGAAAAATGGGCGTGGCACCGCCCACTTATGATCACATATATGTATCTCGGTAACCGTTCTACCAATTTGTACCAAGCTCGGTGTGGTTATTGTGCTTGGCAAATAAAAGCAAAACGTTGAAAATTATTGAAATCGGACTAAAATAACGGCCGCTTCTCATATAACGGTAAATTTCAGAAATGCTTGAAACTTCAATATTTCGAAATTGAAGGACGCTAATTTACTCAAAATTGATACACCCCGGCTTATCGTGTAGCGGTAGCTTTCGGAAAGGTGGAAAACATATATTTAATAATTGCGCCGGGTATTTAATGTTCGGCTCCGCCCGAACTTAGACTTTCTTACTTGTTCAATATTCAGTTTTATTTCAAATCAATCAGTACTCTAAAAAAAGTTGTTAAGCAGTATTTAACTTTTCGTTCAAGAGTTATTCGCCGTCTAAAATGAATTGTTTTGAAATGAAACTAATTATTAATATTGAGTTTTGTTTTTATTTCGTAATTAATTGTAGAGCATAATCAAAAAATAATCTGGGTACGGAGCTAAAGAACAAATTAGCTTGGTAAATAACAGACACCAAAACGTTCATATCGATGGTCCTCTGCAATTACGACACAACTAAAAAAAAACCGTACTACTGAACAGTGGCACATGTCTATAATCATTAATAAATCTTTATAAAGCAGTCATAAAGATTTAGCAAGGATTAGAAAAAGATTAGAGACATGTGCCACTGTTCAGTAGTAGGGTTTTTTTTGTAAGTTGTGTCGTTATTGCACAGAACCATCGATATGTGCAAACAAATTACTAAGAAAGTTATGTAAAGATTAATCTGACTCCGATTCGCTGGACAACAGCAAGCCCGAAGCAACAATGTGCGGGTAATCCGTTTATACCATCTGACCGAATACGCAGAGAAGCGAGGATATTTTCTTGCCAATCTTTCTGTCACGCTTCCAGACGTGCTTCTCTAGGCGCTGATAGTCTGTTTTTGTTTTTGGAGTTCCGCCTGAGGATGAAGGCGAAGGTGTATAATCTTTGCGAAGGGATGCACGCAAGGTCGACGAAATGTCGTCCGTATTTATGGGCACGAAACCCAAATCGTTTTCTTGTCTTGGCCGCTCACTATAAATTCCATTGCGGCTGTGAATGGGGAAAGGTGGATGATAATTGTCCTTTTTCGCCGCATACGCGTGGATTTCGTCAAAGAACTCCCAGTCTTTGGCCTCTTCCGCCGTTGCCTCCTCGCCGGTCCCCACGCCTCTGCGATATGTAAAAAAGGACTTATACTTTTTCATCAGGGCATTCCATTGGGTTTTACACGCAACTGCGTCTTTTCCGTCACCCAGTTGCTCTCTCAGTTCTCTCGCGATGTTTCTGTTACATAAATAAACAAAATCTTATTAGTGCATCAATCTCCATCCAAAATACATATCTAACTTACTTCCAGCCTGTGTTGCTATTGGCGTTTTTCCCTGTGAACCACAGATCCTGTACTATTCGCTTTTGCAGCAGGATGTGACGCTCTGCGTTGTTCCCTTTTATAACACAGGTCAACAACGTTTTGTTCTAGGAAAGTGTAGTGTCATTTCCGAAGTAATTTTTTGCGTAGAATCCGAATCCGGGGTTTAAATTGCTCTATCACGTCAGGATTTTGAGATATCCTAACCTTAAAGTGCAAAAACGCTGTTTTTGCCCATTTTTGAGGTTATGTAGCTACGCAGATTTTGCTCCTCATAAAAAAGTAAACGTGGTATTTTAAAGTATAAGTCTTCCTCTTTTAAATGCCGTTGAATTTGCTTAAATATCTTTATTTTTCACTGAGATATCGCATTTTGAAGTTTCCATGTTTGTGAATTTTTCAATATGCGAAAATCCATTGAGATAACATGAGACGTGATACGGTCGATTACATTCACAAACATGGAGACTTCAAAATGCGATATCTCAGTGAAGAATTAAAATATTTGAGCAAACTCAACGGCATTTAAAAGAGGAAGACTTATACTTTAAAATACCACGTCTACTTTTTTATGAAGAGCAAAATCTTCGTAGCTACATAACCTCAAAAATGGGCAAAAACAGCGTTTTTTGCACTTTTAGGTTAGGATATCTCAAAGTCCTGACGTGATAGAGCAATTTAAACCCCGGATTCGGATTCTACGCAAAAATTACTTCGGAAATGACACTACACTTTTATAGAACATTACGAACCCATTTTTTTGCAGACCTGTGTTCAATTGAAGCTTTTGATTCATTAAACTAATGCATTTAACAAGAAATACTTACATGTAGTGTAGCTCTTCTTAGTTTTTTTTGCTGGTGGCTCCATTTTTTAATGATGTATTATTATTTGGGTTAATTTGGCGTTACATTTAACGATCATCAACAAGTTTTGCGATTGTCAAAATTTTTTATGCGTTTGTCAATTGTGAAGTTTTATTCACCTCACAACTGTCAAATTTTTCTTCGCCGCATACTTTGCTACCGAT